GCTGTCAGAAGAAACTGGAATTTAAAAGGCGAGGCTGCAACTGTTCTCGGGGTAGAGTGGGTTGGTCGCTTTAAAAACCTGGGAACGCGGGGCACCGTTATTTGATGCAAACTCGCCTCTCCCGGGGAACCAGGAGTTCCTGGAAGACAGGAGAGGATGTGTGTCCCACTGTGACTTCCTTCATCCCAGCCTCCTGCCGAGCTGAAATCTCTGTTGATGGAAGAAGCAGTCACAGCAGAGCGCCTGTACGTCGGAGGGTGGTTTATTGGGTGGGTATTGAACTGTTTGGGCCCTACTCGGTACAGATGGGTTTTTATGTAGGTTTTAAAGAACCGAGTATGCACCAGCTTCTGGTAATATGTAAAGTGTTGAAACTCTCCAAAACTTATTATTTATGGTCTTTTAGTGAACATATCCAAATCTTAAGTCCATGGCTTTTCCCTTCGCTATTTGGAACTAGTAAACAGTGATACAGAAGTATATGTAAAGGAGTTGTTTGCAAAACTGTTTAATTTGTAAAGAAAATTGTTTCTCTTACGAATCCTAGATTGTCGATTTTCCTTAGATATTTCTCTTGACTTACAGTTTTGACTTGCTTTGGAAGTTGCAGATCACTTATTTATCCTAGATGCCTTGAAGTGTTTAGGTTAGACTCCTTGATCATCAGGCTTTGTAGGCCAGAGATCCTCTGCTAATTGATTTTTTCCCTGCACTTTTCTTGTTATAAATACTGACTCCAAAATGGGTGAGTTAATCTTTTCTTAAACAGTAGCTTTTTGGAGTTTTGTCAAGGTGACCTCAACTTTGAGTATTTTGTCCATAATTTTATTTCTACATGACAGGAAATGCTTTAAACACAAATTTTCCCTTCTTCCTTGTTCTCACCTTGCAAAGAAATAAGTAGGGGGAAAAGTTAAATTTTGTAATATCATGGTGAACCACACATCCTAAAGCTAGAAGGGGCCCCAAGAGATGATAAGGGCACATCCTCTTCCGGCAGAAAGCTTTTTTTGCAGGAGAGGTGGTTAAGAACCAGGAATATGAAATGATGTGCCTAAGGTAACAGTATTTTGATGGTACATCTTTGTAAACATGGACTGCTTTGCATTTGTGGATTTTTTTTTCAAAAAGTAGGTTTTTAATGTTAAATATTGCTTCTAAATATAGTGTAAAAATTCACATATTAGTGAGTTTTGAGTTTTCTTTTTTTTTGCAAACACATTACAGTTGTAGTAGATTTTGAAATACTAAACAGTAATGTTCTGTGATGGCTGGTAGTTTTCTTAAGTTTCTTCATTTGATACTCAGCATCTCTGTGAACAAGGCACTGTCATTTCGATTTTACTGAGGTGCAGATAAGTTAGGTGACCTGCCTAGTGCTATAGGTGTAGTAGGTGAAGCCAGAGCTCTGATCTAGTCATTTTAATGTTAAGCTTTATACTGTAAACTATGCTGCATCAGTCTGCCCTGTTTATAATATTCAGTAAATTTTCAGTTAAAGGTTGGTTATTTAATAGAAGTAGTAGCAAGGGTCTATAATCTTCATCTGCTTAAGCAGCTTTTCTTCCTCTGAAAACATGCACGTGAACACATACACAGATTGCAAATATCAGGAGGTAGCAAACCTCTGCAGCTGATGCCATAGTGCTATTTTTTGCTCCATTGTGTTTTTGCTAGAAGTCTTTTTAGTAAGAACTCTTTAAAGTGGCTTTGTAAGACTTGATGGGTTTTATAATCACAAAAAATACCCAAGTTATATTATGCTAGGTATACTTTCTTTTCTTGACTATTAAGAATATCCATGTTTGCATTTATAGTACTTTCAACATTGTTTTATCAGCCTTTAAACTAAACGGTTCCTGATGGGGGATGCACTTCAGAACTACCAGGCCCCCAGAGGTTCTGAAGCAGTAAGCTTTGGGTGGGGCCCTGGCATCAGCACTTCTACTGAGTATCACAGCTAATTCTGTTACACACTTGTGGGCCTGAATCACTGATCTAATTCAAAAATATTAATTAGCAAAACAAAAACAAACCCCAAAACATTTTGTTTTAGCTTTTGAAATGCAAGCTAGAAGAATATTTCTTTTTAACTCTTTGATCATGCTTGAAAATTATTTATTCACAGGGAAGGAGGGCTCTATGGGAGTGAAGATATATTTGGCAGCACCCAGTCCTTGTGTGTGCATCCATCATCTTGGCATCTACCCAGACTGTGAGCCCCGTATTGAGATGTGCCCTGTCCCTCTCTTTCTCAGCCCTTAACACTGTACCTAGTACAGAGTAGATATGAAGTGGGCATTTATTGAATGAGTGCTTTTCTCAGCAACAGTGTATGATGAACAGTATTCATATCATTGTCCAGTTTTTGCAGATGAACTCAGTGAAAACAAGGTTTGGTGACTTCTCAGAGCTGGGATTTGAGCCTCAGGCTCTTTGCCCAGCGCTCTGTGGATGAGCCCCAGACATTCCCTCTGCGTCCTCTGGGCAGGTCCTTTTTTTCCCCACACACTTAACCAATCTGTTTGCAGTCAATCATTAATTGACTTGCCTATGAACTTTTTGAGAGCAGGAACGAGTTTTATTTTGTACCTAGCACAAGCATAAACACTTTTTTTTGCCATCCTTGGTTATTTTAAATTTGCATTTAAATGATAAATGTTGAGGCAATTAAAATCAAATTTTGATTAAGTAATAGTTACAGATGTGCTAAATTTTTCAAATTACTCTTAGTAAGCACAGATTTTTTTTTACTTGTAAGGGTACTGCTTTTGTGATAGCATAAAAAATGGTTTTCTTTTTTATTTTCATAGACTGGGAAGGCTTAGTAATTATGTTCATAAGTACTTATATACATCGTTTTCCTATAATAGCTTCTGCTTTATGACGAGTAATATTTTATGAAATGTTTATATCATATGATTATGACATGTTTATAAAATAAAGTTTTAAAACTCATTTAGTTGTTATTAGCCTTAATTTTTAGGAATGTTCCTAAATGTTTTTTAAATGTTGCCTAAGAGCAGATGTAATTGCAGAATACCAGATTGCACGTTCCTTACACTTACACATTATCCTGTTTAATCTTCACAATAATTATATTGTTTTTACAGTTAAAGAAACTGAGACCTTAAACAGAGAGAGGATGACTTCTGCAAAGACACATGGCTAACTAGCAAGTTGTGGAATATTTATTAATAGTTATTTCTATTTATTTTTTCTTTTCTGTCTTTAAGACTTTGAGAGGAAGAAAACGTTCTACCTACCTCCATGATTCTGGCAAAGTCAAGCTCTGTCACAGTAGAAGGCTACTTAGAGAGGTCTTTACTTTATAAACAGCCCTTGTTCTTCCCAGGAAGAGGAAAGAGAAAGATTGACCTTGTGATGGATTAGTTGTACAGGAACACAGTGAGTTCCTGAGCCCCATGCAGAATGGCTTTTACCGAGAGTCATTCCCCTTTAGTTTCTGACCTGGGGTTTCCTGGGTCTTGAAAAGGTGTTATTTCCAAATTGTAGTTGGCTCAGCTATCTTGGTGCATGATGGAGAATTTGATTATCTTCTCAAAAAAAATAAACCTGCTCTCGGTCCCCTGTTTTATATGGGTTGCTCAGAAGGATGTTTTTTAAATGTTGCCTATTAGGAGCTCAATCTTGAGGTTTGGTAATTGTTTACTAGCCCAGCACCACATAGTTGTTTTTTCCGTTAATCGACTTGAGACTGCTAGTCTTTCACTGCCTGTTCACTACAGGTCAGTAAGTGCGCCCCAAAGCCACAGGTTCCTTGGAAAAGTCTCTTTTCTGTGTTTTGCTTTGTATCCTGCCCTTTATCTTGGGAAGAGGTGGGATGCTACTTGGAGGCTTCTGGCCTTTGAGAAGATCTTGGTACATTGTCAAGACCGAGGGTCTAAACAATACTAAAGCCTCTTTGTTCTCCCCTCACATTTGGCCCCTCCCCTACCCCTCCCTAGTTTAGGTCTTAATCTTTGTTCCACTGCAGTGGTTTCCTATCCTTCCTAACCAGTCTCATACCAACCGCTTCCTTCCCTCCCCTCTCTCCCTCTCTTCCTTTCTTGGCTTGCCTGAGTGTTCTAAAATAGAGCCATTCCTAGCCCTCTTTTTTTTTTTTAATTAAAATTATTAGGGTGATGATTAATAAAATCAAATAGGTTCGAGTGTACAGTTAAATATGTCATGTATATCGCATTGTGCGTTTACCACCCAAAGTTAAGTTTCCTTCTGTCACCAAATAATTGACCCCCTTTATTTCTGTCTACATCCCCCTAACTCTCTTTTATTTGTAAAGTTCTTTAATGGTTCTGCATGCATTGTTTAAGGCTGAAATGAAAACTCGGATGCCTAAGGTGGGGCAGTGGGGAGGGAGAATCTGGCAGGTAATCTAAAGGAGGTTAGGAAACTGATGTAAACACCATTAGTTTGTTAAATGGTAGTGACACTTGGGGAGTTCACTACCCACTTAAAGAGGCAGCCCCTCGTTAGCCCTAGAATGTGGCCCTGAGATGATGTATCTTTGGATTTCTTAACTCATTTCCTGGTTGCCAAGTGTTGACCTCACGATAACTTGTGAATTAGAGTCCTAACCTTACATCCAAATAGATGCCACGAAATATCTGGCTTTTATTATTTTCATTTTGCTCTAGTACATCAGTAGTCTTTGGAAACAAATGACATCATTCTATTTATAACATTGTTTTTAGTAGTGGTATTGCTATTTGTAAAATATAGTAATTCTTGATTGCTGAAAATGTCAAATCCTAGAAAACGTAGCATTCCTACGTGTGATGTTAACATTGTTCTGGAATAGTCATTAGCCAAAGATTCATTGGATGAATTCGATTTATGTATACAATTCTGTTACATTAGGATTAGAGACACGTTCTGTTTAGAAATAACTCCAAGAACGGTTTTTATGTTTTATTTTCACATTGAAAACCAGTCCGTTTTGCTTCAGCCTCAAAGAGTGTGTTTATGTAAAATTAAGTTAACGCTGGCAGAGAGCTGCACTTTTTTTTTCTAAACAGGAAATGGGTTAAGAGAAGCCAGAAACCTGGATTTGTACATGTGAAATCTCTTGACTTTAAAATGTTGGCAATTTACAAATGGCTTTTAAACTATGCAGGCTAAGGAGCATCTCTTAAGCATGGTTCTGGGCTTCAACCGTTTCATGGTTTTGAGACCTCTGACCAATAAGATAAAATCTAAACTCTTGAGCCAGGGCCATTGAAAGTCCTTCACAGTGGGTTTTTTCAGCCACCTTGAGATTAGAACATCATTCAGTGGTAGTCTTCCAATAAAAACATGGTTGAACTCTAAAGAACTTTGATTCCTTCTATTGAGCACACATTTTCATCTGTCATGGAAAGGGAACTTAGTGGCAAGAAACAGGAGCCCATGTCAAGAGGCCGAATCCAAAATAAGTGTGTAGGTGTGTTGGAGTGGGGGGCCTGTATCTCTTCTAGTTGTTTTTTCCAGAGAATAAACTTCCTGTCTCCTGCAAGCGTGGGGGAAAGGGCAGTCACTTGTCTGTATAGGATGGGGTTAGGAGATCTGAGAGTCTTGTGACTCCTTACAGAGACTCAGCTGATATTCCTGTCTAGTTCCACCCAGGCCTTCCTGGACACCTATGTCTCCAGTCTCTGAGCCTCTCCAGGGGCAGGGAACCTTGTGTCTCACTAGCATCCCTCCCTGCAGTGACTTTGTTGTCAGCTGTCAACTTACATCATCCAAAAGTAATGTGACAGTTATGTCTAGTGGTTGATGCTGGCTGGCAGCATGAACACTGACAAGTGGCCTCTCCATGTGGCTAGGCTTCCTTATAGCATGGCAGAAGCATTCCAAAAGCAAGTGTCACAAGAGAACAGTGGCATTTCACATGATTCACTTCTGTTTGCTTCTTACTTTCAGAAAGGTGGTCCAGGTTCAAGGGGAAGGGATACATGCTCCCACCATTTGATGGGAAGAGTGTTGTCATGTTGTAAGAAGAATATGTGGGAGGGGATCTATTGTGGTGGCCATCTTTGACAGAACAGACTCTAGGTCACATGTGTTTGATTTGTTTTTAAATGGAAGACAAGAGAGGTCTTTCTAAAACAGATCTGTTCTTGCCACCTATTTTTTAAAGTGTCTGGAAGCTCCCGTGGTCTCCTGGTAACTACAGGATAAGAACAATGGCTCTGAATAAACCTGGCCCCAAATAGCCTTTCTTGTCTCATAAGCTTTTGTGACTTCTCCCTACATTCTGGCAATTCTGAATTACCCCATTCCCTGAATGTACTGTGTGGTATCCTACTCATTCTCACACACCTCACTCATTCTGCTCTCTGCCACCAGGGGCCTCTCCAAGCCCTTCTTCTTTGTAAGGCAACTCCTTCCTCATGTGTCAAGCTCCAACTCAGAAGTCACCTTCAGGAACACTTCCCTAATCTGCCTCAGGCACAATCCATTCACTGTCATCATTTCCCCACAGCCATTTCTCATGCTTCTACTACAGAGAATTAGAGCATTGTACCTGACTTCTCAATTTGTGAGCTTTCGCCAGTAAATAACCATGAGTCTAGTGCTAATTACTATGCCAAGCATGGTGTCACTGCTAAAATGGTACCTGAGTATTACAGTGTTCCAAAGTCCTTTAGCATTCTCATAGGCTTACATACGCAACATTCAGCCACTTAGTCTCTTCCTATTCCAATGGAGTTGACTGAAAATTTCTAGAACCAGGAAACAACCCTGATCATATTAACCTTCCCCCTCTTCCAGCTAATTGATCTTGGAAATAAATATAATGTTTCTTGAGGTTTCAACATGAAATTTGATTTCTTCGTAGATGTTTTGGCTATGACTTAGATAATCAGCATTTCTCTGTATTAGGAAAGTCGGTATCAGTCAACTGTTTATCAGGGTTTCAATCAGCAGAGTCCATCTCCTGAATAACTGGAAATTAATAAATCTTGAAGCTAAGGAGGGTGGTATAGCAGAGTGGAGAGCACTGTTAATGTCTTGCCATATTCCAGATTTTCCGTTAACTGATTGTAGGACTTTTGATGAGATCCAACTCCCCAACCTGTTTGCACCAAGGCCAGTCAGGCTGCAAAACTTACTAGGGTGGGTAAATATGAGAGGAAGCAAGGGGAAGCACTTCTGTGAGAAAATGCATTCACAAAGGCTGCTGAAACACAGAGCTCAGAACTCTCGACTGAAGGCTGGAATTGGACACTTTAAATTATGCAGATACCACACTTTGTTTAATGTACAATATTAAATTTACTTATAAATTTGAGATACGGTATTTAGCAAATGTTTTATCGTAATTTTTCTTCCAAAGAGAGAACTTGTCAAGAAACATGTTATACCCTTAATTAGAAATTTTATCCCTATAGTTGTCCTAAATAAAGAGGAAAAAGACCTTTCTTTTAAAATTTTTCACAAATAAAGGTTAACATTGACAAGGGACACACCCAGGAAAATAGCATTTTTTTTTTTTAATGTTATTTAAAAGGCCATTTTCCTCACTTCTTTTTTGTCATGCGGGGATATGTTTCTGATCCAGTGTAGCAAAGGATGGACCCATAGGATGAGACAGTGATATCTTGATAACTGTAAAAATAGAAGACATTTATTGAGTAGGGTGAAAGGTTGATATTTAGTCAAATTGCGATAGTGAAAACTAATGGTCATTTTTCACCTTGCTGCATAAAATAAGATTCAGGGTCACACTGAGTGGTATTGTAGCTGTATCTTTAAAAGAGCTGTCTAATCTATACCTATAATAACTTTCATAATTATACATGTTGGCATAATCAAGCCAATTACTGTAGCGATCAAGAAGTAATTTATTTCCTCATGTATGCTGCTCACAACAGGGCAGCTGCATTACACATTCATGAATTCTAGTGTGATATTGTTAGGGGTTGTTAACTACAGGCCACTGGATTTGAAGGACCATATATTTATTGGAGCTGGCAATTCTTTTAAATTCTGATCTGCTCATATCTGTTACTTAAGATTTCTAAAGAACATATGGCTTATTGCCTACACTTTACCGGAGGATAGATTTTGGGATACAGCTGTTGATGAAAGTATTAGACGCACTTCCCTCTGAGTCCACCTTTGGAGAGAATGTGAATTGCACCTTTGAAAGTAAGATCCCAATTTTGAAGAGAACTTGTGGTCAGTTAGGGCAATTTGCACTTGAGTGGGGAATCCTTATATAAACCAGAGTGGTAGTCACTGTTGAAAACATGCTGTTGGAGAACCTGGGATAAAACATGTTATTTTAAAGCTCTCTATTTGTACCTCAGCTCCTGGAGAATTTTGTCATTTACAATTTACATATACTAATAATAGAGTTTTCCCTTAATTACTACAGTAACCATTTCTTGATCAAATGAATTTGTGTAGCTTTACCATGGATTTTTTACCTTCCCCCCTTGCAATATTTTTTGAAGCATTCAGGAAATAAAACTGGAGATATGTCATTACATTTGAATGTGACCTTAAAGTCTTTTGTTTTGGCTTATGTGTCTAACAACTTTGTGCTCTTTTTTCCTTACATGATATTCTTTAAAGTTTTTTTGACCACAATCTACAAGTATAAATAAATACATTTTACATCAACAATCGATATAAGTATATACATACACGATTAAGAGAAAAATGTCATGAAATAGTTCTTAAGGACAATGGATATATACTTTGCTGTGTTCTACTCTGTTCTCTTCAGTAGGTGGTGGTGAGGGCACTGGTTGTGACCTATTCTGTTGATTTCATAACCCACTCCCAGAATTTGAAAAGCAGCTAAAAATCTTATTTATGTGATTTTTTTTTCTTGCTTTCTTGATGCTTTCTTCCTTGCTTGCTTTCTTAATACAGATTTCATTTTGTATAAGCCTCTTTTTCACTCCAGGGGAAGTTCCTGTGGAAGTGCTGCCCCTACACACTGGCTCTGTTATAACAGCATCCTTGAAAGATCAAAGTAGAAAATAAGACCTGTTGTCATGCTACTCTCTTGACACAGAATGTCCTTTCATGTGAGACATGATCACATTATCTGTACAAGGAAGAGATCAAGACCATGTAGAACAGGGGTCCCCAAACACTGGGCCACATACCTGTACTGGTCCTTGGCCTGTTAGGAACAAGGCTGCACAGCAAAAAGTGAGCGGTGGGCAAGTGGCAAAGCTTCATCTGTATTTGCACCCACTCCCCAGCGCTAGCATCACTGCCTCAGCTCCACCTCAGATCATCAGGCATTAGATTCTCACAAGAGCACTGGTCCCGGGTGTGAAAAAGATTGGGACTGCTGATGTAGAGAACCTGTTTTGCAAATACACCAGGACATTATGAGGGTGGCCACGGGGTCATAAAGCTTCTCCAAAGAATGCTGTGGAAGGGGATGTTTTACTGGCCGGGTACCACCTTTGTGATAGTTGTGTCCAGCTCAGACTAGTTTTCCCCTAAAATATTCACCACTATAGCTGTATATTTCTCTGTACAATGTTTGGCATAGTGTCAAATTTTAAGAAGTGTCTTGCAATCTTGTGTGATGTCACCAGTGCCAGCTCTCATGCCTTTATCATTTCAGACACTCTTGTGTCTCACTTTTCTTCAGCCAAGGATCTGAATATACACTGCAGATACAGCCTGTAAATTGGCACTTCTACCACACACAGACTCACAATCTGGTGACAAGCTGAGATCGCTGCCCATGATTGAAGACTCACAGTCTGGTGACAAGCTGAGATCGCTGCCCATGATTGAGCTAAACTTATTCAAGGTGCAGCTGAACTAACGCCTCTGTGAAACCTTCCCAGGCCCAACCCCAGATAACCAGCCTGCCTGTGCAGTCTCCTGAAGCATTTGTACACACTGTACATACCTGGGCCCCACCTCAGACCTACGAAGAGGGGGACCCTGGGCAAGTTACCTAATGTTTCTAACCTCTGGTTTCCTCATCTGCAAAATGAGGATAATAATAGAACTCAGCAGGTCCTGGGGAAATTCAATGAAGTAACAGTGTTAAAGTACTTAGAGCACTTCATGCAGAGATGCTTGCTGTTATTTCTTGCTAAAAATCACACAAAGGTTTTCTAGGATCTTGTGAGAGAGAGGTGTTTTTTGGCTGCTGATTTAACAACTGTGATTAGGTGCTTAAGGGATCAATAACATCAAATCATCTTCCCAATACCACTTACAGTAATATTTAACAAAAATATATAATAGATGCCTAAATAGTTGTCCTGTAATTCTATCACAGATAATCCCCCAAATCCATGGCAAGGCACAGCCCTTTCACTGCACAAATCCAAACCATAGTCTTTGTAGATGTGGTCCAGAGGGTGGACATTATGGGTGAATCTCCAGTAGCCATCGTACTCCTGCTGCCAAGCTATCTGGTCTGTGCCACTTAAGGTGGGCCCCTTTCCAGTGACTAGCTCAGGAGAGAACAAGTACAAGTAAGTGTGTTCCTGGAGCCATATAGAGAGCCTGCTGGGTGCTTCTAAGGAAAAAGCTAACTACAGAAAGCCAACCTCTCCCTCCATGGTGGTTGTGAACAGGCACGTCTGTAGCCCCCCACCCACTCCCATCAGTGGCAGTCACCAGTCAGACTCTTGGGAACCAGCCCTGGAATCAAACTGACAGTGGACAGCAGGTCAGAGAAACCCAAAGAGCTTGGTTCTTGGGAATACTCTAGAACCCTCAACCTGTCCTGCTTGTGTACCTCTTGTCGAGCTAATTTCATCATTGCTTAAGCCAGTGTGAGGTTGGTTTCCTTTTACTTGCTCTTGAAAACAGACATCTTAGTGTGGACACATCTGTCCTCTCAGCTCACCATTAATACATGGAAGCACAGAAACTTACCTGATCACAGAAGCCGCAAATCACAGGCTGAATCAATTCACAGACTATTCTGGCATATCGTTACTTTGCCCCATAGCAGGAAAAAACTCAGGCTCCAGCCTGGTCCTACCACTCCAGGAGGCCTCAGTCTCCATTTAAGGCTTCAGTGTTCTGCCATGACATTTTCATCGTTAATCAAATGAATAGCTGGACTAGATAAAGAAAGGACAATAACCATATTACCCTTCAGTGGCAGTAGCAGGGCTGCTGAGGTCTGTGGCATTGGCTTGCCCGGTGCATGCCTGAAGGTTAGCCTGAGCATCAGCCCCTCACTACATACCTGCACACAGGACTAGGCTGTATGCAAGGGAGAATGAGTGGTCAGTCTGTCAGCCTGACCAGAACTCAGCATATTTTTGATATGTGAAACAATTATTAGGACCCAGGAACTCGATCAATAGCTGTACACTACTGTGTTTCTAGTGTGCTTTATATTAGTAATAACCATTATTCCTACTTAATAAGACCAATTCAGGCTGGAAAAACATTCAGTTTGCAGGGAAGGTGTGATACCATCATAATGTAAGATAAGTGCTGCTTTCAGTAAAACCCTGAGTTTTATAAAACTTTACTGATTCTGAGAAGCAGGCAGAGACCAATCCTGCAGAGATCTGTGTTTTTCTGGTCCACATGTGAAGAGCTCAGGGAAAGGTCACTGAAAACAAATGGAGGGGAGAAAAGACACAATGGTGAAAGGGTTTCAGCTTACCCTTGCCAGGCCCTCTTCAGGCCTGGTTTCTCTTGCCATTTTCATGGATAAAAAGGAAGGTTTCTTTTTCTTTTTGGCGTATTGTCTTTATATTGTCACAGAACAGGGCTCATGACTTTATTTTCCTTTTGTGTAACAACACAGTGCCCTTCCCCACAGGTTTATGGTCTTAGCCACTTTCACAAATGTTTGGTTTGTGCTTGATCCCCTGAACTCTTTGGGAAGCTGGAATGGTCTCTACGTGACAAATGAGGGCACTGAGGCTCAGAGCTTCTGAGCCCAGGGCCCGAGTTCTAATTTCTGAGTCACAGGTTGGCTCAGTACTGCTTTCTCCTCAGAAACACAGCATTTGCTGAAGGTGCACAGCGAAGGGGCTGCTTTGTGCCCAGGGAGCAGGGGGCAAATCAGATACTGCGGGGGTCTTGGGCAGCACTGCCACCCCCAGTATCAAAGCTGGCTATTTCTCCAGCCTCTGGGCCCAGTGAGAAGGAACACCCTCAGGCCAGTTGGGCAGCTTCATCTGAGTTACTCCAGGTAGGCCCATGTACAGCCGGGTAACACAAACATGTAAAATGGGCAAGAAGGAATGAGCGAAATCGGCCAGTAGAAATCAGCTGAAATAAGTACACAAAGAACCATGGCAAGGGACAGGTAAAGACAGGGTCCGGGTAAACCAGGCGAGTCCTTGTCCAGTCACTCATGAGCTATGGAAGATCTTGGTGGCCTCTGCCACTTCCTTCTACAAAACCTATCTAGTGTGTTTAATCTATAACCCAGGAGTTTTAATTAGTGTAACTATTCACTAAGAAATAAAAGCTCTATCACCTCTTTACAGAGTATTGGGAATAGGGTGTTATATGATAAAAGAGGCCTTCAAATGACTTCCAGACATAATTCTACTTAGATCTCAGAAACTGACAATGGGCAGTAGCAGGTTGGGGAAACTCCCACTGCCTGGTGCTGAAGTCCTACTATACTTTTTAAAGGCTCAGAGGGTCCAAAGGTCATTTAAGTATGTTTGATGATGAAAACTATTCCATAGGAATTAAGCCCTCAAAAATTAATAAATGACCTGTCTAATCGCTTAGTTTGTTTGCATCACTGTTTAATGCAAATATTTAAAAATAACTGCCAACTAGAAAAAAATTCCCCTTAAAATAATGTAAATAACTCCTTGAGATGGTGCTTTTTACAAAAGGTTTGTCAGCAAATACCTTTTTTTAGGGGACAGCGCAGCACGAGGGTGGGGACAGGACATCAGAAAATGGTAGGACTGTTTTTTATTTCGATGAGAATAACAAGGAATCCCACCCACCCTCCACCCCCAATTTGCTTTATGTAAAAATACTTCCAGCATAATGAGCAGCAGTCATCAGTGGGAGGTGACTGAGCCCCAGGCGCCCAGAGAGTTACTTCTGTGTTCCCTCACTGTGTCCAGAACCATTGGCTAAGACCATGAATTCACCTGCTGATCACATCTCTCAAGGCTTTTTATCTCTCTCAAGGCTTCATAATACAGCTAAGGATTGCCGCATTGAAAATAAAAACAGGTTCTTATAGACGTAACGCTGTCAACTTGTGTGGGGTAAAACTCGGGAAGGCACACAATAAATTAAAGCAGACTCTGTCTCTTCGGAGGGTTTGCAGTGATCTCCAGGGTGGGCGCTGGATCTGCCAGCAGCCAAGCTTCCAGCACTGGCGCAGTGTCGAGAACCGCTGTGGGAATGAGGGAGTCCCTCCTTCATTAAGTCATGTCAGTACACAGGTTGCAGGATGGAAAGGAGGAGGAAACCCTTGCCTTCCTATCCAGTGCAGTGCGCCGTCCGCAGTAAGGAGGACCTTCTCCTCTGAGTGTTACCACAGCCAGGGTTGCA